AGAAGAAATTGCCTGTGTTTAGAAAGTTTAAGAACAAGGCAGAATTAGCAAAATGGCTGCAATGGAATTTAAAAAAAGCTGTGTTCCTCGTTTGGGCCAGAAGAATTATATTGTGTGGGCTGCAAAAATGGAATGTTTGCTGAAAGCAAAAGAGCTGTGGTATATTGTTGAGAATCCACCACAAGAGTTTGCAGCTGTTGATCAAAAAAATCATGATAGAGCACTGGCTTATCTCATCTTGAATTTAGATGATGACCAATTTCTAAATGTTGCAAATTTAAAGACTGCAAAGGAGATTTGGTTGAAATTGAGAGCTGTGCACGTGAATGTTTCTGCTTGCAACATAGTGCAATTATCAAGAAAACTTTACAGGGCCTGTTTGCAACCAGGTGAATCTGTGGAACAGCATTTAAATAAAATGCAAAGTTTATTTTTGGACTTAGAACAACATGGGATTAAATTCCCTGAGTCCCAGAAGGTTTTATTGGTGTTGGACAGTTTAGATAAAACCTGGGACACAGTTTCTGCAATATTTGAGTGCAAAGAAGAACAAGACTTAAATTTTGAGGCTTTAAAGGCATGTTTGCTTAATGAAGAAGAAAAACACCATTTTAGAAGCAGCCACGAGGAGGAGAAATTCCTGAGGAGGGGGTCCAGACCGCAAGTCTCCAGAGGAGAAGAAACAAGCAGATCAGACCAGGACCAAATTGCAACAAAAGAGAGATTTTGCAAGCAGAGAGCTTCTTGCTACATTTGTGGAGCAAACAACCATTTGCAAAGGAACTGTTTGCAAAGGAACAATTTGCAGAACAAGATATTTGTGCAAAGAAAAAGCACTGTTTTGCAAAAGGAACATTTTGGTGTTGCCAAAGTTTGCTATAGCAACAACAGAGACAAGTGGATAATTGATAGTGGGGCAAGTCAAACAATTGTTAATGACTCTGAATTATTTTGCAAGTTTGTTCCAGTAGCACAAGAAGCTGTGGCTTTGGCAAATGGCCAGAAAGCAAAAGTCATTGGAAAAGGCGATGTAAAAATTCCATATTTGGAATCAAAGTTTACCAATGTGCTTTGTGTACCTGAGATGGAACATAATTTGTTAAGTGTGTCTAATTTAGACAAACAAGGTTTTGAGGTCATTTTTGTAAATGGAAAGTGTCTCATCAAAAGGAATGGGAATATTTGTGCAGAAGGCATAAAGGAAGATAATCTATATGTATTGCAGGGACAAAAGGTTCAATGTTCCCATATATTTAAGAATGTTGCAGAGCATGATTCATGTGTTCATCTTCTGCATAGAAGACTTGGCCATGCAAGCTTTAAAGTTTTGCAGCAAATGCAAGATTTTGCAGAAGGGCTAAATTTGAAGGGATGGAAAACATATTTGGACTGTGCAGTATGCAAAACATCAAAATCAAAGGCATTCCCAGTTAGTAAATGTAGCACAAGACAAACAAAAAGAGTTCTAGAGCTGGTTCATGCAGATCTGGTGGGACCTAGGCAAGCCAGTTTGGGAGGAGCAAAATATGCAGTGGTAATTGTTGATGATTATAGCAGGTATTCATTTTGCTATTTGCTTAGAGATAAGACAGAGGTGCTACAACAATTCAAACGGGGTAAGTTTTGTAGAGAGAAGGTACAGACAATAAGTGTGTCAGTTGCAAACTGACAGAGGTACTGAATTTATGTCAACTAAATTCCAACAATGGTCGGGGCAGTTGGGGATAAGACACAGACGTACAAATCCTTACACAGCAGCAGAGAATGGTGTAGCTGAAAGAAGGAATGGTGTTTTGCAAACAAAGGAAGATTCATTATTGGAGGATTCTGGTTTGAGCAGGTCATATTGGGGAGAAGCCATATTGACTGCCAATTATATAGTTAACAGGCTGTGGAGTTCCTCCATTAATAATACTCCATATGCCATTCTATATGGGAGAAAGCCATCACTGGCACATTTGAGAATTTTTGGAAGTACTGCATGGGTACGTATTCCAAAAGCAATCAGAAGAAAGGGACAGCAAAAGGCAAGAAAGCTGAGGTTTGTGGGCTATGAGCCAGGGTCAAAAGGATATCGCTTTAGTGATGGAAGTAAAAGAATTATAATTTCAAGGTCTGCTAATTTTGCAGAACAAAATTGGGACAGAATTAATGCAAGTTCTGGGTATGTCTCATTTAATGATGGTGATCTGTTTAGTGACAATAATTCATCTAATGATAAAAAAATGATTGAAGATGTCAATGTTCAGGGAGGAGAAGCTGAACAAGACATGATACCAGAAAGAACTGAGAGACAGGAGCAGTTAATACCACGTAGGTCAGAGCGATGTAACAAAGAAATTCCGCCTGACAGGTATTTTGCCAGCAAGGTAAAGGTTTGCAATGTGTGGTATGAGCCAAGAAGTTATAAAGAGATGTCGGCATTACCAAAGGCTGAACAAGAAAAATGGAAGGAGGCCATGGATAAAGAGATGAAATCCATGGGAGACCATGAAGTATTTAAATCAGTGACTTTGCCACAGGGAACCAAAGCTGTGGGTTGTAAGTGGGTATATAAGAAAAAAGTATTGCCAAATAATGATATACGGTATAAGGCCAGGTTAGTGGCACAAGATTTTTCACAATTAAAGAATGTGCACTACGATGAAGTATTTGCCCCAACTGTGAAAAGTGAGAGTATAAGATTAGCACTGGCGTTGGCAGTGGCATATAAGCATAAAATCTGGCACTTTGATATCACAACTGCATTCCTCAATGCTGAGTTAGAGGAAGAAATTTATATGATCCAAGCACCAGGATATGAAATTGCAAAACCTAACATCGTATATAAATTAAACAAGGCTATTTATGGGCTGAAGCAGTCAGCCAGAAACTGGAATATCTGTTTAGATACTGCTTTAAAGGATCTTGGAATTAAAAGTTGCAAAGCTGATAACTGTATATATACTGGACAGTTACAAGGAGGGAATTGTCTACTGTTATCATTTGTGGATGATCTTTGCTTCATCGCAAAGGATGCACCATAAGTCAAAGAGTTTGCTGATAAATTAGGAAAGAAATTTGAATAAAAGAATTTGGGAGAAATAAAAAATTATCTCGGTGTAGAGATACAGAAAAATGAAAAAGGTGGTTATATTCTCAGTCAAAGGAGAAAAATTGAGCAGTTATTGGAGAAATATAATATGAAAGATTGCAATACTGCTCCCACACCCATGAATGCAGATTTTTATAATAGTTTAAGTACGGACAAAGGTGAAACCTGTGATCAAGAGATATATCACTCAGCAATAGGGAGTTTGTTATATCTATCACAGTGGTCCAGACCAGACATAGCTTGCGCAGTAAGCATTTTGAGTTGTTTTACTGCTGCACCTACAAAGTTACATTGGATGGGTGTAAAAAGGGTTCTCAGATATTTAAAGGGAACTATAAATTTGGGTCTTCAAATATAGATTACTGAGGAATTGAAATTAAAGTGTTATGTCGATAGTGACTATGCAAATGACATAAACACAAGGAAATCAAATTCTTGGATTATAATATTGTTTGGAGGGACTCTGATTGGATGAAAGTCCAGAAAACAAACAACTGTTGCTATTTCAACAGCGGAAGCAGAGTTTATTGCTTTATGTGAATTGTGTTCTGAAGTAACATGGTATGTACAGTTGTTGCAAGATTTAAATATTAATGTAAAAGAATCTGTAAAGGTATTTGAAGACAATGCTGCCTGTATAAAAATGGCAACTGATGACAGGGTGAAGAACAGAAGTAAGCATGTAGACATTAAGTATTGTAATGTCAGGGAAGCTGTAAAAGGAAAATTGATTAGTTTACATCATTGTTCTTCTGAGGATAATTTGGCAGACATGATGAATAAACCACTGGGTAATGTTCACTATGGAAAATGTGTAAAGTCAATAGGTCTGATGTCTCTTTCTGTCATGAAGGGAGGAGTGTTGGAATATTCATGAACAGGAAGAGTCATGTGGTAACTCAGTCAGCCAATGTGAAGAAAGTGCTATTGAGTCTGTGCAAAAAGAATATTGAGTTGATTTCCAGTCTCTGGTTTTGTCTCTGGTCTGTCTCTGTAAGAAGTCTTCAATTAAGCTATGTGGCTATAAAGAAGAATGGTATTGTAAATATTTTTATATAAATATAAAGTTATTTGAATCAGCTAAACGCAGTCGACTGTGAGAGATTCTGATTTATTTTTCACCAATAGAGAAATTAAAATTCTCTAACAGTATTGAATTCTAAACTAGCTGACATTTCCAGGGTAGCCTCAGGGCAATCCCAGGAAAAGCAAATTGATTAATTACATGTCATGAAGTTGGTTATCAATGCTCAACAATGACATAGATTAATTTTCTCTGGGACAATTTGTCTCCATTCTGGTCCTTCAGATCTTCCACCCGCACTGTAACTGAGCCCATCTGTAACACCAGGTAGGAGCAGAACCAATACAATGTGGAGTTCCTGATTTGCAACCCTTACAGGTGGCTAAAAACACTACTGGGATCAATAGTGAGACCTAATAGTAAGTATGGGGTTTTTGAATTGTAGCTTTATAGTTCTATAGCAATTTGCTCAATTTATTTATGGTATTCCAAATAAATACAGCGATACTAAAGATACTTTTAATCAAGATGGCTAATTTCACAGTACATTTTCAATACTAACTGATAGTTTGACAGTTGGTCTGATGATGCTACATATATTTGAAAAATAACAATGGCATTGCACGTAATCTGATACTAGTACAAACTTTTATTTTTTCAATATCATATAGAATTTATTTTTTCTAGAAATTACATGTAGCTCTCCAAGAATATTGAAAGGTTCTTTCCGACCTCAAAGAAACATATATAATGATGGGGATCTAATTCGAATTCAGTGTGACAGTGGATTTGCTCTTGAACAAGATAACGGAGGACAAGTGGCTGAATGCACAAGAAATGGATGGTTACCTTCACCAAAATGTGTCTGTAAGTAGAACTTGCATACATTACTATAATTGTAGAATGGCTGATACCTTTAACTCTGCATAAATACACTTTTTAATATTATTTTACATGATTTTCTAATAGTTTGCCTAAGAAACATATCTCACTCGGAACATTTTAGCACATTATACACATATCTAAAGTATTTAGTTGTAACAGGATATAGGGGAGACATGATAGGTGGATGTATTATCAGAACAGAATAGACAAGGTTATATCATTGCCCCTCAAAAAGATTCTTTCTAGATGCAGTACATGGGAAGCATGCAAGAAACCTGTTTTAAACAAAGTGTGGAATGTCTGCTTGTCAAATAAAGAGGGGTAATCAAAGATATGCAAATTCACAGGCAAACAGATACACATATCTTAAAGGAGAATAATAACATGAACAGTATTACTTTCTCTTAGCAAGCGAATAGGCCTATTATAAACATAGAACATAGATGCATAGAACTTAATGTTTCCTACATTTTGAACTGAAGAAATCTCAAAGCTAAAATTGTAATAATGTGAAATAGTACAATTTTATCTGTTGAATGATATCCTCATATCTGAACCACACATGTTTCAGTATCTTAAGCTTAGAACTGGAAAGAGAAATAAGGATGAAGGAAAAAAGACTTAGTGAAAGGATGCACAAGTTTTCCTGATGAAATGACTCTACTAGAAAGTGTCATTTCTTAAAATATTAGCTGAGGAAAGCATTTTCTTTTAGCAGCAAAGCAATATATGTCAGTCCTTATTACTGAACATCTGCCATGTTCTCTGCACTACATATAATAAGGACAAAATTTAGTTCAGGTTCAAAAGCAAAAACTGCTGAAAGACACAAAGTGCTCACAGAGTGACTGTCTGCAGTACCTTAGATAGCCACAACTTCAGCACAATCCTGAAAAACTATGCATCTGTGTTCAGATGCTAGAATCATGAAAGGGCCAGTGAACCAGTCTGCAAGACCAAATTGTCTAATGTGACTTCCTGACCTGGTTGAAAAGCAACTAACCATGTTTGCCAAAATCACTAGAAGCAGTGAGAACCTATTTATAGCAAACTCATCATTTGCTTTGTGCATGGGCCTATATGTAAGAGGTCATTCTTTGGTGAGAACTGTTGAGCTTAGAACTTAGACTCATGAGAAAAGAACACTGAGACATTAACAATATTCATTCTTTGATTCCTCATGGACATGCTTAAAGCCACCTGCAGATAATTTTATCTTCAACACAACTAAGCCTGCTTTTTTTAACCTGGAGATGTACTTCACTATGAGTGTAAAGAGGGGTTTGAAATCACTAAAATCAGTGACACCATGGTGTGCACTGAGAAAGGTTGGGAACCTACTCTGCCTAGATGTGTGGGTAAGTTAATGAAACACCAGTCTAATAACCCCGTTGTCTAAATCAGTTCATCAAGAATATTTTCCTGTTGCATTTACACTTGGGTACACTTAAAAATATTATAATCCTAAATTATTTTTCAGAAATTGGCTTTTCAAATAGAAACTTTTAAAAAGTAGAATAATTCAAGATAATTAATCATGTATTTAATTTTCTCCCATTTGTTCTTCCAGTAATTTCTAAATATTAGCTATAACTTTCTCAATAATAATCTATTTATCATATATTCACAGATTTTAAATAAAAAACATAAAAATAATATAAATAATAAAAAGGATAATCATATCTCATTATAATCATCCATCCACAGTCTATGTCAGGGATATCTGTTGAAATATTGTTAAAGCAGCTTTTTATTGTTTAGATCAAATTCCTTATTTGACCTAACCTACTTGATACTTATTGACCTAACCTACTTGATATTTATTTTGATGGATGTATATGTACAAACTAATTGATTTATCGAGAAATATTTTTTAAAGATTAATCACAAGATTCTTCGTTTCAAAAGACTTGATAATCTAGCTCCCCCAAAAACTATAGATCCATTGCCCAAGACAGACCAATCTAATGGATCCATAGTGGCACTACAGAATCGCATGGTAATCAGGGTGTGATCTAAGACACTGAAAGCTCCCCCAATTTCAGATGACACAGCCAAAACTCCAACAGGAAACCAGATCTGGAGTATGATCATTATCCCATGTTGGGCTCTGGTTAAGCCCATGATCATCAAGATGTGCATGAACTCCTGAGACATCTGACTCCACTCCTAGAGAAGGCAAATGGAAGTCCTCTGAAGTCTGGGGAACTACACTGCCATCCTAGAAATGGAATGAAAGAGCTCAGGCAGGGAGGATATTGTACAGCAGGAACAATAGCAACAATCCCAGTTAATCCCTAGAGGACAGTTTAATGAATAGGGTCTCACACCTCTCAGAAGCCATAAGGGATTCCCAGATGACAATCAGCACCACCACTCCACTCCAGTATAATACTGGGAAATTCTGAGGAATGTATAGTAGAACTCATATAAGGAATATGAAATCATGTTTATTTTATATATAAGTGCCTCAAGCCTTCTGGCAAGCAGTTTCATTCTGAAATCTACCTTATTCTATTTAATTCAACATTTGTATAGCATTTGTATGTCATACTCCATTTTTTGAAAATGGCGCAATTGATCCAAGAGAGGACGTATTTCAGCATAAAATGGTGGTCCATTTTAACTGTAACAGAGGATTCACAAGAGTTGGCTCTGAATCTGCACAATGTTATCACTTTGGATGGTCTCCACTGCCTCCAGTCTGTAAAGGTAAATATGGGCAATTTAAGAATTATTACTGTATTTGAGGCAGGAGGAGGGAAAATAGGGACAGGTTTTTTAAAAAAATATGTTCTGTTTTCTAGATTGTGTGAGGAAAGCCAATCATTGGCCAATAAACAGATTTCTCTTAGCAGGATGCTTTGAATGAACATCTCCATTTATAGATATGCAACATAACAGCAAAACTGTATTCGTAAATTGTAAATAGAAAATGTTTATATGAATAGTAATATTGTTTTCAGGATTTTTTTATATTTTAGAGGCAATTTCTTTTTCATTATATTAATAGGACTTTTGAAAAAGAAGTCAGATAGCAGAATTACAAGCCTATTGTAATATACTGTTTTGACACTCTCAATACAGATGTTTATTAGGCTTAAACAGATCACCTACACAAAACCAGAAATGCATATTGCAAAAAGAAAGAAATGGTAGTTCTCCTGTATTGACAAGTAACAGCTGGATTGGCAGTCTGTTTTTTATTGCGGTCATTAAAAAACACACCATTTTTATTAAACTTTATAAAAGATTACAACTAGAACAGTAAAAATACAAAGAAAAAAAGAAGAAAAAGAAGTGCAGAAAAGGATGAAAAAGAGAAAGAAAAACAGAAAAGAAAAAATATTAAGAGTATCACAAAGAAAATATATATAAAGAAGTAACAATAACAAAGTTGGAAGGGAACTTGAAGATCTTCTAGTATAACCCTCTGCTCAAGAAGAAGCATACAAAAAGAAAAAATGATGAACAAATAATAAGAAAAACATTCCATTAACACCTTCTAGGAAAATAAAATGATGGTAAGAAACTATTTATTTGAAAAATCTGATTCTCCTGATCCAAAGACAAGGAAAGATCTTAGCTGCTTTTCCAAAGGTCTTTAAGGTAGGGACCAATTCTATATTGAGGGAAAATGTTTCAAAAAGGCTGGTGCATCCATCAGAAAGGCACATAACCTGGGCCCCATAAGATGACATTTTCCCAATAAAGGAAATCAGATCAATATATACTCTTGGGAGCAGTTGGCCCTGCAAGTAGCCAATCCTATTCCATATAGGGCTTTATAGATGGTAACCAGCACCTGAAAATGCATTTTGAAGCCTGTTGGGAGTCACAACAGCTCACAGAATACATAGGTCTTGTGGGCAAAATGATAGACATACATAATTATTCACATCATTGCATTCTGGATGAAGTGAATTTTCTAGATGGTCTTCAAGCACAGTCCCATGTATGGCACATTGCAATAATTCAATAGGAGGTGACTAAGGCATTAGCCACAGTTGCCACCTGCTCTTCAAGTAGGAGCCATGTGGTCAAGAAGTATGACCTGAACCCAAGCAAGGAGGTACAACCCCACTGAGAGTCAAGGTTGACTGATAAGGCCAATAATCCATAGCTACTTGGTCTTGTTAGGCTGGATGTAAAGTCTGTTCTTCCCCACTCAGATCCTCACAGTCATCCCAATACTATGACAGAACTATGACAGTTTCATTTGAACAACTAGGAACAAAAATGTAAAGCAGGTATAATTTAAATATGATAATACTGCACAAAAACTGGGGAATGACCTCCCCTAACAGCTTCATGTAGGTATTTGGAAAAGGATGGGGCTAAGCCTTTAGTCACCCCCACCAACCAAGAAGTTCAGACTACACTGCTCCACCTTACATTGATTGGAACCAGCCCTGGAATAAGAAGAAACTCCTCAATAAGTGCGCCATTTCCCAAGCTCCTAAGCTAGTCCAGAATGTAACTGTGATTGATGGTAACAAAAGTTCCTTTTCTTTTAGCCATGGAAGACCTAACAACAAAAGCTAATTTATTTCTGAGTTTTCTTCAGTATTTAATCTGAAGGAGACAGTTGTCTTTGCTCAGATATTTAACCATTGAGCCCTCTTGGGATTCCTTCTAGGCATTTAAGATAAATGTTTGACCATGTTCAGCGTTACTTTTCTTAAAATGGAGCACTCTGTTCTAAATATAACTTCCCTCAACTTTCATTCATTGTTCATTCCCATGTTCATTCAGTCAATGTTTTTTCCCCCTTTTGGTTAGTATCAAGTCAGGAGAGCTGATCCTCTTCTAACTTTCCACAGGCTTTGAAGAAGACAATTATTGGAAACTCATATCTAGGCTTTGCTGAAGAGAGGTCCACGTATTAGTACAACTTCACATGTCTTTGAAAGACATTGCAAACTTAATCCATATCTTTTTGCATCTTTTTGAGAGAAAGGGAGAAAATGAGTAACAAATAGCTATAGCAGACACAAAAAATACTTATTTATGTTTTTAAAGTTATTTCTAACATATACTCTTGGACACCAGACTTATACTGACATTTTTTGCAAACATTATCTACTACTGCTTTTGTTCCTGTGATTGTTGTAATAGATATAGATATATTGTTATATATACAACAATAACAATATTCATGCATATCCCTCTGGGATTTGAGTAAACATTCAAAATAAAAGTGATATTCTCTTTTTTTCTAGAAAATGTTAAATCTTGTCAGGCATTACCCAGGATTTCTCATGGCATGGTTGCCGGTGAACTTAAAGCAGTATATCAGCATGGTGATCTTTTGGAAGTTCAGTGTGATATCTCATTTGTACTTCATGGATCAAAAATCATAGAGTGTGTGGATGGTGAATGGGCACCCTTACCATCATGCATAGGTAAGCAGAAATATGAGCAGACAGTCTTGTAGATGTAAATGGTAGTTTCTTGCACTTAGCTTGGGGAGGAGGGTCCATGGTGTGCAAACTGGAATCTTTCTTCATAACAGATTCCAATGGATTATTAGTAGAGAATGGAAGGGTAAGATTACTTCCCAGTGCTTAACTAAAAAAATTATAGAGTAATTAAAGTATTCTGATTTATCCTAATAATCTCATGAATCATGAATGTATTCCTGTGCTTACTTCTAGTACTTGGGTTCTTGTTACTTGAAATAGAAAGTAGAAATTGAGAGCTGTCCTTCTCTTTGTAGCATTTCCATGACACTGTTAATACAAATGGTAGAATAAGACACTGCTAGAGACAGCATGATATTCGGAAAATTTGGGAAAAAATACTGGAAGTAAAATAATGTGGGCTTAATATAGCTAGCTGGTTTATCAAGTCATATTAAAAATATCATCACAGGTTTGAAGACTTCAATGTTGCAAATTAAATAATAACTTGACAAAAAATTGCAGCATATGATTCAAATAATTGGCAATAAAAATATGTAAGTCATGGTAATATAGTACAAACTGAAAGTCCATATATATTTGCCTTCTTCATTTGATGAGTACTATCCTTAATGTTTTATTTATTTAGCTATTTATGAATGAATGATAACAGAATTACAATAGGTACATGAAACAGAGGGACAAATTGCTGGAAGAGCTAAATAATTAATACCTTTATGTAATAAAATCTTTTCCTGCTGCTTTTCAACAGAAGAAGTAAAAACTTGTGGACCACCTCGAAAAATTACAAAGGGAATTCCTGTTGATGCTATGTCATCCATATACAGGCATGGTGAAACCGTGGAATATCAATGCCAACGACGATCTGTCATTATTGGGACCAACCCAGCCAAATGTCTTCATGGACAATGGGAACTACCATCATGTCTTGGTAAGCTAGAGCAGTGGTTCTCAACCTTTTTAATGCCACAACCCCCAACCTATCGTAAGTCGAGGACTACTCAACCGGTCGTAAGTTGAGGACTACTCAACTGGTGCAGCACCATTTGCAGAATGGGACTTTTGGCGGGCTGAGCAGGGCAGAGACAACCTGGGCAATTCCTATTCGCTTTTGAAAGCCAATAGAATTAGACTCTATTCAAGAGAGTCTATTTTATTGGCTTTCAAAAGCCAATAGAATAAAAGGGAGTAGCACAGCTAAGGAAAAGGGGGAAAAATGGCGGACTGAGTTGTTTGGCGACCCCCGTGAAATGGTCGTTTGACCCCAAATGGGGTCCTGACCCACAGGTTGAGAACCACAGAGCTAGAATGTTATGGCTAAACCTACAGAAATTAATTTTAAGCTTGTCTTGAATTACATTAGTATTTATTATTGACACGATTGCTCAGAAGTGTGATTCAGTGGGATAAAAATGGGATCTGATGGAAGAAGATCTAGGTTATATTGAATTGGTTTATGCCAGCGTGGTTCACAGGTGCATTACTTTTCCAGTATGTTCCCTATTTAAATGAGAGTCCTCAAAGATAATGGGGAGATACATAGAACAGAGTTAGCAACCCCTTTTGAAAAATATGAGACATACAAAAGATACTTTCAATTTGACTAATGTTTGTTTATGCACAGACTGTACCTAGCAGAATTTATCAAACAATGTTCACAGTTGTTTAAATTATTACGCACTTACAAATTGGCTCAGTACAGAAGATGATTAGGGGGCTAGAGGTTTAAATATAGAATGAACAGTTGCAGGAACTGAGTATATTTAGTCTCATGAAGAAAAGGAACTAGGGGTGACATAATAGCAGTATTCCAATATTTGAGGGGCTGTCACAGAAAAGAGGGGTCAACCTACATTTTCATTATTTTATTGAATGGGTTTCAAGACAATCTACTATAGATTTGGACTTCTATGTTCCTCACAATTGGGGAGATGTATAACTGGTAGCCTTGGAATTCAGGGTAGGAATAGAAAGGAGAGAGATAAGATTGTCCTGGTTTATTTATTTCTTTGTTTGTTTATTTATCAATTCAATCTGTATTCCGCCCACCTCATTAAAGGCAACTCTCTGTCTGAAGTTTAATTTGAGGAGCATATCAAATCTAAAATCCTACATGGGAGAATAGAAAGAGATGTCTACAATCTGTCAATCAGAGTAGATAACAGATGAATAAACCAGAAATTGATCAGCATATGTTTGGAAGATATAACTTGGAATATGAAAATAGCCTAGAAGAGGAAGAATGGATTATATAAATAAAGAGAAGAATAATGGATTTATTATATAAATACTTATGTAATAATATTTGAATTGTTAGTTAATCCACGAAGTTGTGCACGTGTACAGCATGCAGACTTTCAACCAGGAAATTTGTTTAAGACCAACCAGTTTGCAATCTACCGCTGTGGTTCCAATCTGCATCAAACAAAATGTGTCGATGGATCATGGTTTCCTAAGCCACAGTGTAAAGGTATGATTTGCATGCTATGTAAAAGTTTATGGTTTTTCAATAGGATAACATTAAACATACCTAAAAGTAGGGCACACCTGAGGATTGTCTTCCTACATAATATCTTTTGATGTTGAATTGGTTTTGATCTTATATGTCATTTACTGTAGTTGTTTTATATGTACCATTGAGAGTTTCATGATTGTAGGGAAGTTCCAGTGTGATCAGCTGGTGATCAGGAACATCTGTTCTTTTATGAGAGTTTTCAGGTGAAATGTTAAGGATAAATTATGAATATTAGCTGACAGCAAAAGGTTAGAATTGGAGGAAACAGACATCATGACTTAAATTTGGGGCCTGAAATATTAGTTAATGAATAAAAAGGCTGAAGGATATGAAGACAAATGTGAGAGCAGATAGTAGAGAAGAATAATTGAGAGAAAAGATAGATGAAAGATTTACCATGGTCTCATAAGAAATGGCAGCTATAGCTGTTGTTTTGTTTGTTCCCCAGTTGGGCAAATCCTGGGGTTCAGTATCATTGTGGAAAGAGAAGTCTGTGTGGATCTCTATGGATGTCACTCTGTGATAGAATTTTAGCTGTTGCGGTTTGTTGATACAATGTGATGGCTGCCATTTCTACTACATCAACAGCTGGAGACCTAATCAGAGCATGCTGTTAGGTGCTAAATCTTGGAGTCTTTGTCAAGGAGTCTTACTATGCAAGCAGCCTATCCCACAGACAACCGGAGACTGGCAAAGGAAGAAATAGCACATAGGGCCTTTCATTGGTTCCCAATAGATTTCCAGGGTCAATTCCTGATGTTGACCTATAAAAGCTATAAAATTACTGTTTCTCAGTAGTAGCACCAGCATTCCGGAATAACATTTTTCCTTAGGAAAATGTTTCAAACCGATCTCTTTTACAGAACATTTGTGGATTAATTGCATGTCCTCTACCTTAGATTTATTGTTAAGGTACTATTATTAGGATCTGATTGCTATTTAATTTTGAAAGTGAGCAATTTATACATGTTGTTTTATTCTTAATATAAATGCTTATCTATAAAACATTGTCAAACAAACAAATGCAAATATTAACTAACAGGAGTAAGGATATAATTAGCAGAATCCAATTGCCCTAGTACCCAAAACTACTTTCCCAGCAACACTTGGGGACACCAGTAGTCAGAAAAAAAAGAGAGCCACAAGGTTCTCCAATCCTCAGGTGCCAAAGAGAGAAGAAGAATATCATAGTCAAATGTACTGAAAGCAAACTAAAATCTGAAGGGTACCACAAAGGTACTTGCCAGGTCTACCATTCAGGCTGAAGCAAATTTCATCATATAACTTAACTGAAAACCTGACTAAAAGAAACCTTAATAATTGTATCATACAAATATAATTAGAATTTCAATCTTATTGTGATCAAGAAATTCTCAGTCACAGTAGATAAGAATTTGATTTGATATAAAAACTTCTTAAGAAAATACTTAGGATTCATCTTCATTGGGTGAAGTAGAAGTGAAATAATATTGAGTAGCTTTATTCAAAGATTTACGATGTCGGAATCCAATTATATTTCATCTTTAGTTATCAAATATAGAAAACCCCAATTCTGCCTTCTCTGGATTCTGCCATAAGAGGGAGAGAAGGGGGAGAACAAAGGGGCTTTATGGCCCTCACTTCCTTCAGTATACTTCTAAGGAACTGAATGTGTTTATTGCAACCTCAAAGAGTTTGAATGTGGTTAGCACCAAAAGACCTTATCATAACAAAGGAGGCTATTTACCTTTCATGTAGTTTATCTGAAGTCTCCATCCAGACGGAAGAAAGGAAGAAAAGGGGTGGGATTGTGATGCCTGAAACTATCACTGGAAGGGGGGGTGATTGGGTGGGACTACTGGGGAACCCCTTAAAACCTCGAATGGGAGAGCTTGAACCCCAAGTCCTGTCTAGCACGCCTGCAACCACTTTTTCTTAATAAAGGATTCCTGTTGGAAGAATTATTCCAAGAGTTCTGTCTTCTTAAGATGCAAAGTGGGGTGGGTCCTTACATTAGACAGGACTTGCAAAATTAATCCACCTGGAAGGGAGACCCTTGCCGGGGGATTTTGCAAAAAATTACCATGTCAGACAATGGAGCAAGAGAGGGGGAAAACTCCCTGGAAAGAGAGCCGCTGACCCAGTTGGAACCTTGCCAGATGTTGGGATCCGAGAGGTCAGATTCCTCAGGAGAAGAAGTGGTGGAGACACGGGACCACAAGCCTTGCTGGTCAATGGGCGTTGGAAAGAAAAGTGAGTGGAGAAAGGAATCAAGAAAGGTGACCCTGAGACGGGGGACCAAGCAACCAGAATGGAAGCAGGAGATGGAGAAATCCCTGCACGCAAGTGAAGAGGGAGAAAGCTGGGCACCGTACTCAGACTGGATCCTAGAGAAAGCTATTGACCTGATGAAGAGAACTCTCAGCTCCCTAGGAGAGGAGAATCCTGAGCCCTACGGCTGCCCCAGCTCCTGGAGCCGCAAAGGGAGAGACACTGAGGGGGACGTGGAACCTTCAACCCCAGGGACATCTGCTGATCCAGTAGCCCCCACCCCCAACCGGACCACAGATGGCAATCTGGATGGAAGACACTACCACCAACAACGGAGGCACCGATCCATTCCAAGACGTCCGCCTTTGGAGGTGAAATTCAAAGGGGAGCCAACATGCTTGGGGTTTTTCCTAACCCAAGTCCTCAGCTACATGGAGGAATACGGGCAGGACATCCCCAGCGACAAAGCCTGCATCCGGATTGTGCAATCTGCCCTGGATGGACCGGCTGCAGATTGGGTGGTGAACTTGCATGACTCCAATGCCCCAGAACTCAGTAACTTCAACCGTTTCATGTCCTCTCTGAGAAGACGGTTTGAAGACTCCCTGGCTGATCGCAAAGCCCATGAAAGGATAAAGACGATGAAGCAAGGCAAACTCCCGGTGGCTGAATATACATAAGAATTCCGGGCCATTGCCAGCAAACTGAATTGGCCAGAAGACATCCTCCTTAGCCATTTCAAAGACGGACTAAACTATGATCTATATGATGCTTGCCTGCCCCGAGGGGACCCACACCAAATTGAGGAATGGTACATCTTGGCAGAGGAAGCAGAGATCGACATATTGAAGAGGCACCGCCGAGGAAAACAATGGAGCCGCCCCCCGCCGGAGCTGACACACGAACCGGTGAAATCATCGGCTACAGCCAAGAAGCAAATGGGGTGTTTCAAGTGCGGAAGAGAAGGGCATCAAGCTGTAGAATGCTGCTCCAAAGCCCCCAGCACAACCCAGACAGATCCCCAACCAACAAATCCGGAAAGTCTTCAACTAAGCCAAAAGAAACTGCCATGAGAATGATGGAAATTGCAGAACCCCCCACTTCTACTCACCAAGGGGAAAAAACTCCAGCCTACACCACAGGGCCGGTGGATGCCTCAGATGACAGCTCGGAGGGCGAACCCCTGGTAAGTGGACACATCACACCCATCCTCAAGACAGTGACTATATTAATCCCCCCCATGCCTGAAGCTGTGAAGGTGAAAGCCTTAATAGACTCTGGCTGCACCCGCTGCCTCATTAGCCCAACACTAGTGGGTAATCTGGGCATCCCATTGAGGAGACTGGAACAACCAATCTCATTTGGCCAGTTAGATGGATCCATAGCAGGGGGGGGGGCAGCTACCCTAGCCACTCTACCAATACACCTCTCCCTGGGCAACCATGAAGAGGACATAACGTTTGTGGTGACCCCAGGCATGGAATGCCCAATGATTCTAGGGATGGAATGGTTGAAAAAATGGAACCCCTGGGTAAATTGGAGGATGACAGAAATCAAATTCCTGAAGGGGGACCCTATGGACTTAAAACCCCAAGGGAGGCCACCAGAATCAAGAATAGAAAAAGCATCCATAGGAGAGGAAAAAAGATCAACAGAAATACCAGAGGAATATAGAGACCTTGCTGAAGTTTTCAGTGAAGAGAGGCCAAATGAGCTCCCCCCCACCGACCCACAGACTGTACCATTGAATTCAAGCCTGGGGCAAAACTCCCGAAGCCCAGATTATACTCCATGAGCCCAAAGGAGAAGGAGGAAATGAAAAGATTCATTAAAAAAAACCTAGAGAGAGGTTTCATTGAGCCAGCCAAGCCTAAAGTGGCTGCCCCGGTCCTCTTTAGAGAGAAGAAGGACGGCTCTTTACGCTTATGCGTGGATTATAGGGCCCTGAATACAATCAGTGAAAGAAACCTATACCCTCTACCCCTCATGAAAGACATGCAGTCACACCTATCGAAAGGGAAAATTTTTTCTAAATTAGACCTAAGGGAAGCTTACTATCGTGTGAGAATTAAGGAAGGGGACGAATGGAAGACTGCATTTAACTGCCCCATGGGGTGCTATCAATTCAAAGTCTTGCCATTTGGATTACAAGGGGGCCCTGCAGTCTTTATGCAATTAATCAATGACGTTCTAAGGGAGCACCTGTTTAAGGGGGTCCTGGTTTATTTGGACGACATTCCTATCTTCACCGAAACAAAAGAGGAACATGTCAACCTTGTCAGAGCGGTTTTAAAGAAGCTGCGAGCCGCCCACCTATATGCCAAACTCTCAAAATGCGAATTCCACCAGGGAAGGATAGACTACCTAGGTCAGTGATGGGCAACCTTTTCGGCGTGGTGTGTCAAAATTCGGCAAAAAATCGAGCATAACTCGCGTGGTGTGTCACTTCAACAAAAAAAACATAATTTTGCGCAATTTATAGTTTAAACTACAAAAATGTATAATTGCAATATATAATTATTATAATTATTATAATTAACAAATTATTTAACATACCTGCTTAGTAACTTCTTTGTTCATCAATCTGTCGATTTCGTATGTTGCCCTTGATATTATTGAACTTGTTTGGGGTGCCGTGAACTGAGATAAGTGAGGGGGAGGGCGAATTCTTTAACTAACCTGCATATTAGTGACTTTTTTGTTGC